CTTGGGCCAGTGAAGCAATGTCCTCCACAACTAGACTGAAGAACAAAACGACAGCAACTTGTCTGTTCCCCTTCCTCCCAATTCCCCAGCGCTGTTATCCCCCAATTCCCCAATAAAAATCTTTAAAAAAAAAAACAAACAAACACGGAGCTGCCTCTGCCCACCCAGGATCTGGAGACAGAGCACTTTGTCCTCTGAAGCCAAGAGGTGATGTGACTTACTTAATGGCCCATCAGTGACAGGAACAAAACTATCCCGCAATCTTGAGACTGTTTTCTTCTTTTTAATAAATGTATGTATTTTGCATGCTAATGGAACAAGTGGTCTTTCCTTTGGAAGTCATGAAGATACTACAATTCCCAAAAGCACCTTGGAAGCACTTCGTGTTTGTGTGTCTGATTCATTCGTTTATCCCAAAATCACTTACTGAGAGCCTACTGTTCCCCAGGCCCCATGTGAGGTGCTGACCATACAGAGGGGCCCAAGACAGGTGACATCCCTGCTCTCCTAGGCTTAGTTCTCATGGGGCAGATAGACAAGGAAATTAGCAGACTTGAGCCAGAGGGCACTGAGGGCCACGAGAGGATGAAGCAGGAAGCAAGAAGCAACGGCTAATTTAAACTGGATGCACAGGGAGGGCTTCTCTGAGGCGGTGTCATTTAGAGGAGCCAGTTTTAAGTAGCCTTTTTAACATCCATGGCCACCCTGCCCCCACCACACCTAACTTACTATCATCTTAAAGGAAACCTCTGGATTTAGACCCCTATTCCTTCCTAAGTCCCTTTTCAGAACTTGAAAAGACAAGCATGCAAACAAAACCAGCTGTTTCTATGTTATAGAACAAACTGTTTATGCACATTAATGCGCCAGTTCTCCACCGACAGCTCAGAGTGTTAGCTGCTCAGTCAAATCACAACCAACCTGAACAATCTGAACAAGGGCTGCCGGAAACCCTGGTGTACGCATCTCATCACTCTCATTGCTAAGGACAGCGATCCAGCACCATAAGGGAATCAGCTCATTCGCCGAGACCTTACTGCGTGTGGCTGAAAGACTCCAAGATGGCCCCAAAGATGGCTGTGTTGTGACAGTCACATCCGTGTGCAACCCTTGGACCTAGAGTCACTCCCAATAAACAGAATACAGTGATACAATGTCCCTTCGGGGAGCAGGCTAGACCAAGATACAGAAATAAACTAAACACCCCTCAAGGGATGAATGGATAAAGAAAATGTGGTAAACACATACAACAGAGTAGTATTCAGCCTTCACAAATAGAAGGAAATCCTGCTATTTTGGACAATATGGCTGGAACGGGAGGACATGATGCTGAGTGAAATAAGCCAGTCACAGAAGGACAAATACTGTCTGATCTCATTTATATGTAGATTGTTTTAAACAGTCAAGCTCAGAGAAGCAGAGAGTAGAATGATGGCTGCCAGGGGCTGAGTGTAGGGGGGATTAGGGAGGTCAAGGGTACAAGCTCAGTTGTGCAGGATAAAGAAGTTCTAGAGATCTATCCTGCAGCATAATGCTCACAGGTGACAGTGCTTTACTGCATACTTAAAATCTGTTAATAAGGTAGATCTTACGCTGTGTTCTTACTACACACACACACACACACACACACACAATAATAATAATAATAATAATAATAATAATAATAGGGGTAAGAGGAAACATTGGGAGGAGGTAGTGATGGTTTTGCAGGTGTATACTTAAATCCCCAAACCCATCGACTTATACATATCACATACATACAGCTTTTTACATGTCAATCATACCTCAATAAAGTGGTTTTAAAGAGCGAGATTAGGCCAGAGAAAGAGCATGACTTTCATCTTGCTCATTCTATCTCTTCGGGGGCTCCGCTCTGGAGGAAAAAGGCTACCTAATGGAGAGGCCAACGTGGTAAGGAGCTGAGTGAGGCCTCTGGCCAACAGCCTGGAAAGGGCTGAGGCCCTCACACAACACCACGTGAGTGAACTGGGAAGAGGAGCCTCCTGGTCGAGCCTTCCGATGAGACCACAGCCCCCGCTGACACCTGACTGTACCTTGTGAGTCCCCAGGTAAGCTGCACTGAGATTCCTGACAGGAACTGTGTGATAAAAAATCATGGGAGTTGTTTCAAGCTTCCGAGTTGCAGGGTAATTCATTCCGCAGTAAGAGATACCTATGGGTCAGGCATTAACAATAAAGGACCAGGAGGGAGTCAGCAAGACTTCTGCAAGAGCTGAAGGGTGGTGTCATGAAAAACACTGAGATTCTGATTTATTTTAAAGTTAACTGTGAGCATCATTTATTTACTTTACTTGAAAAATAACCTTTTTGCACCGATGAATGCTTTTACCTTCGTTCCTGTTTCTGAGACAGTTTGCAGAGCTGTTTAAACTGGATAAATTAATCAGAACCGGATCAGGGAGGTGATCGTCACCCCAAGGTTGAAACATAAATCAATGTTCTACAGCAAACAGAATTTATAAACACTTTTCTACAGCAAACGTTTTAACGGATACAGTTTCCTATGACAAACAGCCACAGCCTGGAAAAGTCAATAGTTCTTGGAGGTATTAAAATACATCTTTCATTATTATTTGTTTCCTTAGTGAAATCTTACATAGACTCTCAATTTTATGATGACAAGGTACAAAACAAATCAGGCTTGACTTAAAATGAATGACAGGTCACATGTCACTATTCCATGTACCTTATCTATTTAATGAAGGCAATTTGTTGACTCAGGGCCTCTATTCTGGGTCCTCTTAAGGTTCCTGCTACAGAGGTTGGTGATCTTTGGTCTCATCTTAATTTTAATCAAGGCTGAATTAAAGATATTTGAGGCTTATAATGAAGGGGGAATCTTTTGTACTTTTATACCTCCCCAATTCCTTGATGAAAGTGAACTGCTAATATTTACATTAAACTATTTCACCAAAGTCCAGAGTTACCAACAGAGCAGAGCACAGGTATTAGCTAGCTGACATCTCCAAGAGCCAGGGAAAGCTTGCGATGCCATCCCTTCCAGGGCAGAGCAAGTGTCTGCCCCCTGGCCCAGCTCAGATTCTCTCGAGACCCCCTGAAAGCTCTATTTTGGCAGCTCAAGCCATGGAGTTTGGAGACACTGAGGCCCATTCCTAAAGCACCCTGACACATCATCAGAGCCTTAGAAAAGACACGTGAGCATCCAGTGGGGAGTTTTGTGTTTGACTTTGGTTTTGTTTTTTTCCTAGTCAAAGAATTTAAATATGAGACTGCCAACCAAAGAACTGGAAATTGTCAGT